ATTGGTTAGGCTTATGTGCATGCATACAAGTCCTTTGGTTGCTCTCTCTCCCTTCCCCCACCCTCCCCTGCCTTTTCTCTGAGGTTTGACGATCATCCCACTTGTTTTTTGTAACTGTTGGCAGCGCACAGGCCTGAGGAAACCAGAGAGCGATCTGGAAACCTGGTCCCTGCACAGCCAGTTCTGGCCTCTCCTGAATTTATTTTTTATTTTTTATTGATTTTAGAGAGGAAGGGAGAGGGAGAGAGAGAGAGAAACATCAATAATGAGAGAGAATCATTGATCGCCTGCCTCCTGCACGCCCCCCACTGGGGATCTTGCCCGAAACCCGGGCATGTGCCCTGACGGGGAATCGAACCGCGACCTCCTGGTTCATAGGTCAAAGCTCAACCGCTGAGCCACGCTGGCCGGGCCTCTCCTGAATTTTTGAAAACCTCCCACGGCCCACGGCCCTGTGTGGGCTCCACAGGCTCCAGCTGTGAGAGAGAGCTCGTCATCCTTTAAGACGTTCGCGCTGTCAACACGGGACCGCACCCGGCTCCTCATGAACATGTAAGCGTGTTGGATCCTCTGTATTAACAGCCTAGCATTTTTATGAATCATCATCGGGCACAACTTTGCACATCTGAGCCCAGATCCTGTTTTCTGATTCTTCCACTGGAAATGGAGGGGCCTCTCCGAATACCCACCTGTTAGGAGAGGCGCCGGGACCGCTGGCTGGAAATGGTAGTTTGCGTACAAAGTACGTGCGACGTTTTACTTTTTCTTTTCTTAGTTTTTCATGGAAACATTTTGGATCCTTTGTTGTACCCAAATCTGTCTTGTTACGGAAAAAATAAAGGCATGTTTTAGTCTTACGGTATGAAATCCAACCTCGCCGAGTCCTCTCCACTTGCTGGAACTATGGGCCCACTGTTACCCTCTGACCGAAATCCAAAGGCGTCGTTTTCACATGTGATCGGTGTGTTCAGCGTTCACACGAAACCGTAAACACTGCGCACCACACAGCGGGGCCTTTTGTTTGGGGGCCATTGGCTTAGAATTTATGTGCTTCTCCCACGTTCATAAAAAATGGCATTGGTCGTCTGCCACTCGCCACATCAGAATACCCCAGTTTTCCTGGAGCTACAGGAAAAAACACCCCCACACGCGCGCACACCAATCTAAAGTTCAGGTCTTTTTATAGCAACATAGAGGCAGGCATATTAAATTATTATGCCCCGTTCCTGCCAGGGTTGGACTTTTTGGAATTCTCTGTTATAAAGCAACCAGCGCAGTCCCCAGTCCTGCGGCTGGCCGAAGGTCCTGGGAGCATAGCCTGTCCCGCTACCGGAGGGGACATCGCAGGCAGGTAGGCAGGTGGGCAGTGAGGTGGCCCCGAGAGGAGGGAGCGGCGGCAGGCGGGGAGGCGGGACAGCCTCCGTCAAGGCAGGAAGTTGCTGGCGGAGCCCGAGCAGGGGCCCGGCGTGCTCCTGGGTACCAGCCTGTGTGCAGAGCTGTTCGTTCTGGTTTTAATCCCACGGTCTAAGCCGCTCCCAGCTTTGAAGTCCCAGGGCTGTTGGGCAGGATGTCGGGAGTCGGTGATGAACAGAGCGACACACCTGGTCTGTTGCGTGTGGTGTCTGTAGAGCTCATCCCTGTCGATGCAGGTCTCTGGACCATCCTGTGGCTTCTCTTCACCCCCCACTGTTAAAACATGCTCCGTTGGCATGTGCACACACGTATGTATGTGTGTGTGTGTGTGTGCGCGCGTGATTTCGTTTATTTGTTTGCTTTCTCTTCCTGACCTGCACTTAATTCCACGTGTGGGCCAGTCTCAGGTGGGTTAGAACACTTTGGCCCGGCCGGCGCGGCTCAGTGGTTGAGCGTCCACCTATGAACCAGGAGGTCATAGCTTTTTCCTGCATCAGGGCACATGCCTGGGTGGCGGGCTTGATCCAAGCAGGAGGCAGCCAATCAGTGATCCTCTCTCATCATTGATATTTCTCTCTCTCTCTCCCTCTCTCTCTCTCTCTTTCTCTCACTCTCTCTCTCTCCTCCCTTCCTCTCTGAAATCAATAAAAAAATATATATATTTTTAAAAATGAGCACTGTGGTGGCTCTTTCTGAGATGTGGGCTGCATCTCGCTCCTTCGGAAATGTTCATCCTGAAGCCTGGTTTTTAGACTCTTTCTCCCTCTGGTGAACAAAAGCACCTTGCAATCTCTGATCACACCGCCGCCCTCCGTTTGTGCACCACGGACTCTGAGGAGGACTTTGAGATACGAAGGGAAGATGTGTGTCTCCCTTATCTCTAGCTTTCATGCACGTTTTCCCCTAAATCGATCTCAATTAACTTTGATTCCTTCCTTTAAAGCACCATGTGCTGAAGTGACGCTCGGCCAGATGTGGGCGCGGGCTCCTCCCCCTCCCCGCACACGCTGCCCTCGTGTTAGCTCTGACATTCCGGTCTGTTTCCAAAACCCCGCGCTCTGAGGACGTGGCCCTTCGATGTGTTCGTGAGGACACCCGGACTTCTCCTAGGGGCAGACTGACGTGGTAGCATTGCTTCTCTTTTTGTCCTGAAAGCCCTTTTCTTTTTTTATTTGTAATTTTGAAATGAGCCCGGTTCTTCTGTCTAATCTGTTTCTGCTAATTTCTGATATAAATCACACAGTTGCTCACGTTCCTCTTGGTCGGTGAGCCAACACAAGCATCACCGAGTGTGTGACTCCCCGCAGAGCCCCGCCGGAGTCGCCAGGCCGGAGGGAGAAGGGGCGACCCGGCCTCGTTCCTGGTCTGAGTGTGTAAAACCCTTCCCTTTGGTGCCGCCACGGGAGGGGAGGGAATCCGTTTGGCTGAAATGACTTCAGAAGCTGCCATTCTTGTCTTGATGAATTAGCACGGCTACCTAAATCCATGGGGCCAGTGTTACTTGGAAACCCACATCTGTGACAATTAGATGCCTCAAATTCACTCACTTTGTTCATGACCAGAAGACAGAGTCCTGCAGGTCGAGTCCCCCGACGTCGGCCGGCCAGGCTCTGGACCCTGAATGTTCTAGAGCCTCAGACTGTTGCTGTCTGTCTGTGGCTGTCTTTGAGCTGCTGTGTGTCCACCGTGCCTTTCTTATTTTTTCTTTCTTGTGCCTCATTCTGGCTCTCTGGCTGGCACAGCCTATCCTTTGGTACGTTTTGTGGTACTGCTTAAGCCCTAGCTTACTGCTTCCCAAAGGGTCACAGGGCTCGGATTCTAGGGATTTTAAAGAAATCGAGGTAATGCCTGGCCAGTGTGGCTCAGTGGTTAAGCATCCACCTAAGAACCAGGAGGTCAGGGTTTGATTCTCAGGGCACATGCCTGCGTTGCAGGCTCGATCCCCATTGTGGGGCATGCAGGAGGCAGCTGATCAAGGACTCTCTCTCATCATTGATGTTCTATCTCTCTCCCTCTCCCTCTCTGAAATCAATAAAAATATATTTTAAAAAAGGAAGAAGAAGTCGAGGTGGTGTGTCCACACTCTGAGAGCCAAAGCACTGAGCTTGGTCCTTGTCATTCTCCCCGCCCACCGGTTCACAGCGTGAAGTTCACGTGCTTGGGGAGCTACGAGAGGAGTCGGTCCTGGGGCCGGTGGGACAGAGTGGCCGGGAGCACTCCGGGCTGGGTTTGTGAAATCCCACGTGTTCCATAAAGATTCTGACACTTGTGGGTCGGGGGGTGGGGGGAGGTCTCGGTCTGAGAACGGCTGCTCCGTGAGGCTCTGTTCCTGTCGGGGAGCATCCTTACTGATTTACGTATCAACTCAAAGAAGAAGAAGGCAGTGCACATGTGAGCACATGTTCGAAATCAGGACATAGAAGCGTATAAGCAGGGTGTCGTGGGCTGTGGGGCAGGAGGAGCAGATGGCCAGACACCAGTCAGCCCCATCACTGATGCCCCATGACCTTGGGCCGCTCACATCAAGGTCCGGATCTTTCCGATCTCAGATCCTCCAAAGTTTCCATTTTTAAAAACCGGGGATGGAACCCACATCCGCATCTCTCTAGCTGAGAGCGGCCCTGAGCGCGCCAACAGGCTGAAGTAGGAACGAGCTGCCCCGTGGGTTTTGTGCGTGTGATGGGTCATCCTAGTTGTTCCGTGTAGTTGTCGCGCCGAGTGTCACTCACGCGGGTGAAATCTCTGCCTTTGCTGCGCTGGCGGGAGAATACAGCACAGCCGTGGGCTAGCCAGCCACTTGTTTGACTTAAAGCCACGGAAGGATGATCCACCCATCACGAAGGTCTATTTCTTCTCACCAAATTATGCAAAAGAGCAAAGATGTCACTAGAAAGGAAGGGGAGGGGGGAAGAGCGAGTCCGTGATCCAGATATTTTAAACACCCTGGTATTTGGAGGCATCTGGATAATTCACAGCTTTTTTTTTCTTCTGGTTCATTTATCATCCAGATGTTCGCCATCATGGAACCACCACTTGCAAGCCTATTGCAGCTAATAACTCCGAAGTGGAAAAACTCATATCTGTGTGTTTGTCCTCCGTGCTCCGTTCTCCCCGCTCTCCTCCCCAAGCCCCCTCCTTAGCATCTCCGGGGAATAATGTGGCCCTTTCGCCAGATGCTTAGGTGTGAGCCGTCACTTCGCCTTTTTTAATCTTCGTGGCCATCCTGTACCCTGTCTGCTTGAATTATAGATTGCATTTGTCAAATAATGACACATGCAATTGGATGTCTTCGAAGACCTTTGAAATCCAACTTCCTTGAGTGGAGATTAAAGTGGGTTTTCCCTCCGCGGCTGCAGTCGAGCCCGGGCCGCTCGGAGACCTGCTGAAAAGTTTCCCTGGGCCGGCCTGCTCCCACTCCCGTGGCCTGGAGGGGGGAAAACCAGCTCCTTATTTTTTTTTAAATTCTGGAAGGTAGACCCTCAAACTCCCTAAACTGTGGTCCCGGTTAGAAAGGACTGTAGACCAGCTGCTGTTGGAAGCAGGCCTGTCCTCCAGGCCGCTGACTGTGTGTGTCTCTGGGTGTGCAGGAAGCGCTATCGGTGGTGAGCGAGGACCAGTCGTTGTTCGAGTGTGCCTACGGGACGCCACACCTGGCGAAGACGGACATGACCGCCTCCTCCTCCGGCGACTATGGACAGACTTCCAAGATGAGCCCTCGCGTCCCGCAGCAGGACTGGCTGTCGCAACCCCCAGCCAGGGTCACCATCAAGATGGAATGCAACCCTAACCAGGTGAACGGCTCCAGGTAAGCTGGCTCCTGTCCCCCCCGGTTTCCCTGTCCCTTGTGGAGGCCACGGGGAGCTCGGACACTCTTTTCCACAAAGATCCTTTCGGAAAGGAAGGCCGCGGAGGGGTCCCGTTGGCCAAGGCTGGGAAAATGTGTTCCCCGATGGTTCTGTGTTGAGGACGGAGGTCGTAAAACTGGTAGTATATTCACCGAGCACTCGCTTTGAAGACGTGGTGTTCAATACAGTTTTCCAGGCGTGAGGGCGCTGTGGGAGGGGGGCTCGCACACATGTGGCAGAGTTCATCTCTGGGGTTCCGTTGTCTGGAAAAGAAGGCTGTGTTATGTTTGTATGGAGGGAGAGTGTCAGCTAGTGGCCAGGCGGTAGCACACGTCCGAGCCATCTGCCCTCGCGAAGGGAGCTGCTTAGCCATCGGCCCCTCACCCACCCACCCACCCACCCCGCTCCCTCCTCTGTCCCTTCCTCTCAGCGCTCGCTGCTGCTTCTCATCTTGACTTGCACGGAAAGCCGAGCTCTCGGCTGTCAGATAGAATGTGTTCTCAGACGCAGAGTGAGCCCTGGCCCTCGAGAACATTTCGTCGGATGCAGTTTTGAAAAGTGAAGTTGGTTTCAATTATGATATCATAGCCCATCTATATTCAGGAAGAAGCACATAAAATCTCAGGACAAAGAAAGGGTAATTTTTTAACACGTTGCAGGATCCGACGTAGAGGCGTCAGACAGCCCGCACGTTCCAGGGCTTCCCTGTGCGCAGAGCCCTTCTCCGCCAGTGCCCCGTGCGTCCCCAGCAGCCCGGTGAAGGGTGCTTGTCCCCATTTGATGGATGAGGAAATCGAGGCTTAGGCTTTTCCTGCCGACTCGGGATCACCACCTGAAGGGGCTCAATGTGGATTCAAACCCAAGGTGTCTGACTCTACCCTGAGGGCGTTGTCCACTCTGTGGCAGCTATAAAAGGCCCTTTTTGCTACATATGTAGACAGGGTGCCCCAGAAAATGTAGACACACCTTCACAGCTGATTGACAGCTGAGTCACAGCTGAGTGCTCAGTTTTGAAAACGCAATGTATTTTAATGAACACTGCCTTTACAGTTACTCGAAGTGTGTGTATACGTTTTTGGGCACACCCTAGATTTTAATGCTAAATACGTGTTTATAAGAGCTGGAAACGGTTGTGTCCGCTTCTGGTGCGGCCTCCATGAAGGTGCCAAGTCACAGCACCGAGAGGGGATCGTCAGTGTGTGGAACGTGCCATGCAGGGAGCTGGTCCACGCCTACCTCTCGCGGGCTCTGTGGGAACAGTCGCTCTGAAGTTGCACGTGGCTGTGGCATGGGGTCCTCGCGTGGATGGCAGGCCCAGGCAGGCCACGTCAGACCTCATCTAGGGAGTCATTCCCAGAGTCCTGAGAGGGCCCTCCCGGGGAGAAAACGCCGCCCCAGGGCCCAGGATCCGAGTCCTGGGTACTTATTTAATGCGTGTGATTATCCTATGGGTCAGTCCTATCCCACCTGGTAGTGTCTCCACCAATCAGGGGCAGGGTGGGGCCAAGGCAGGCTTACCGTGGCGACACACGAAGCACAGAGTGTACTCTTGTGCAGATATTTATTAATTGTTGTGTTATGTTCCATATGCGCCTACTTCCCCCACACACACCCCCCTCCCCCCCGTATTTCTGAGGCTTAGGAGGACGGAGTGTAGCCGTGTGGGGAAGAACGCAGCGGAGGGATGAGGGGAGGGTGGGGATGACCCCGGGCCACTCAGTGGGTTCTCTCTCGGTGGCGTCGTGTGACCCCACGCACCCAGGAGAGTCCTGGGGGGACACTAAGAGCAAGAGGCATTTCCAGAGCTTTCTTCCTCGAACGCCAATTTGTGTGTGCAGGAAATGCATTGGGGTGTGTGTGTGTGTGTGTGTGTGTGTATGTGTGTGTGTGTGAGAGAGAGAGAGAGAGAGAGAGAGAGAGAGAGGAGAGAGAGAGAGAGAGAGAACACACTTTGGGCAGAGAGCACCGAGACCCTGCCCTGGGCCCTGTTCCCAGGCTGGGCCAAGGGCCAGCTCCCCGAGGCGGGTCTGGGTTAGCGAGCCTCAGAGAGACGCCGCGAGGAGGTGAGCGCGGGGTCATACTTTGTGCTGCTCCTGGATTAGCAGGAGGAGGAGGGTGAGCACCACCGTCCTGTGACGTGGGCCTGGGCCGCCTTCAGTAGCCAGCGCCCCTGCCCACCTGCCCTGCGGGGCAGCCTTCCCCGCCTGAGGGGTCCCCACAGGGAGTCGGGAGGAGAGATGCAGGACAGGATCCGGCTCCTCCCATGCAAAGCACTGTCCTTGGGCACGGTCCTCCCTGAGCAGAGCACTGTCCTCGCCGAGCAGAGCACTGTCCTTGGGCACGGTCCTCCCTGAGCAGAGCACTATCCTTGGGTACAGTCCTCCCCGAGCAGAGCACTGTCCTTGGGAGGGTCCTCCCCGAGCAGAGACTGTCCTTGGGCACTGTCCGAACAGAGCAACGTCCTCCCCTGAACAGAGCACTGTCCTCCCCCGAGCAGAGCACTGGTCTTGGGGCTCAAGAGCACTGTCCTTGGGCACTGTCCTTGGGCCCGGTCCTCCCCCGAAGCAGAGCACTGTCCTTGGGCACTGTCCTCCCAAGCACCTTTGGGCACGGGTCCTGAGCACTGTCTCCCCAAGCAGAGCACTGTCCTTGGGCACGGCCCTCGCTGAGCGTCCTTACCCATCAGCCGCCCTCCGAGGAGAAGGCCCCGGGCCCTGGGAGGAGGGAGGGACCGTTTCCGACCCGTGGAGGAATGCGACCCAGCCTCAGCCCTGCCACGCTCACAGGCTCCTGAAAGGAAAGGCCGTGGTGACGTGGGGCCTCTTGCCACGACGTAGATCTCCGTAAAACATTGGAGGGGAGACGGGAAGGAAGGGACCACTGCTTGTGAGCCAGCGCGGGGCCGTCGCCACCGCCGACTCAGAGGGCACAGCATGTGCCACACTGAGCTTACTGCGCGCTGTGAGGACCGGGACCTCCCTTCTCCACTCAGTGCTGCTCAGCCTCAGTGACGGTGCCTCCAGGGCACGTGTGGCAATGTCTGCAGACATTTTTATTGTCATAACTTGGCGGGGTGGGGGGTGGGGGGCGGTGTTCCTGGCATCTAGTGGGTGGAGGCCAGGGATGAGGCTCAACGTCCTAAACACAGGGCATCTCCCCGCCAGAGAAATGAGCTGGCCCCGGTGCCCACGGCCCGCACGGTGAGAAGCCCTGGGCCAGAGCTGCGGGTTTGGGGTTCCTCTGCATCGTGCACGGGGCTGGTCGCTGTGAGGATGGGTTCAGAGAAGCTTGGGGTCCAGCAGAGGTGGAGACGCCCTGTGAGGTCGCATGGCAAGTGCAAGGACGGAGGGGAGTTCAGGGCCCCGCCTCAGTGAGGGGGCAGGGGGGGAGGGTGTGACTCCCACCACCTGGGCAGGAAAGAGAGTCTGTGAGGACTAATGTTAAACAATATTTCTATAACACGTCATGATTTATAATACACACCATGTCATCCAATTTCCTCATTAAATCTGCGAGACGGCATTGTGACTAGACCAGTGGTTCCCAACCTTTTGTTGGCCGTGCCCCACGTAAGCATCTCTAACATCCTGATGGCCCCCCCTCCCTGTGACATATAATTCTTATTATTCAAAAAGTGAACTCCTATTCACATGGAGGAAACCTAAAAGGCCATTAATTTGGTCTAAACAAGCTTCCAAAGAACAGGGCAGCCATGAAAGAGAAAAATAAAAGAACGGAAGGACAGTTGAAGTCCTGAGGAAGAAATCACTAAGAAATTATTTAAAAAATAATATGACAAGATATGAAAAAATAGCAAATAAAGTTTCAAAACATAATAGAGAACTGAAATGCATAAAGATGTCACAATATGTATTTATATACTGTATATGTAGCTCCTGGAACCATAAGAAATGCAAAAGGTTCACTGTTAATAACTCATTCTCCAATTGCCCCCCTTAAAAATCAAACTGCCGCCCCTGTGGGGTGTGTGCCCCACGCTGGGGACCATTGGACTAGACCCATTTCACAGATGGAGATCATTGAGTCTCTGTCGTAGGCCGTGTGGCCACAGGCCTGTGCTCCTCCTCACGCCCTCCAAGCTGTTTCTAAAGCAGCAGTTCTCAACCTGTGGGTCGAGACCCCTTTGGGGGGGTCGAACGACCCTTTCACAGGGGTCGCCTAAGACCATGGGAAAACACATATATAATTACATATTGTTTTTGTGATGAATCACGATGCTTTAATTATGTTCAATTTGTAAGAATGAAAATACATCCTGCATATCAGATATTTACATGACGATTCATAACAGTAGCAACATGACAGTGATGAAGCAGCAACGAAAATAATTTTAAGGTTGGGGGTCACCACAACACGAGGAACTGTATTAAGGGGTCTCGGCATTAGGAAGGTTGAGAACCACTGGTCTAAATGAGCATCTTCGCTATCGGCTGGGGCAGCCGAGTGTTCTCAGCTGACGGACCAGCAGTGTGTCCTATCTCCTCTCCCCCCAGAGGCGTGAATCCAGACGCTATTGTGATCTCCTGTGGATGTTGCACAGGTAGAACGTTCACTTACGAAGGTTGGTTTTGTTTTACCCCCGCAGCCAGTTTCCCTGCTCTCCCCTTCCCGCTCCTCCAGGAGGTGGCCCCCACCCAGACCACCTCCCAGAGAGGCCGTGTGAGGAAGCCCCGGGCTCGGAGCACGTCAGTGGCTCCTCAGATCCCTGTTGGGCTGAAGTTAAAAATAAAACGTCTCCGTTTCAGGGTGGTGGCTGCTCAGGGCCGCCTGTCACTGTGACGGAAGAGGTGCTGTGCCCATCCCGGCTGCAGGATGGCGTCTCGGCGGGCGGTCTCTGCACATCCGGCTCTCGCTTCGTGTGCAGCACTCTGTTTGCTGTTTGAAATGGGTCCGCTGGGACCCGTCCCTCCCCAGGCCTTTCCCCTTAGGCTCATTGAGA